TACATTCACGCAGATGTATATCCCGGATGTTTTGTTGTTGTTGTTGTTGTTTTTTTTGCCTTCTGTTTCCTTCCTTGTTTGCCGTTCTGTATCACTGTTCGACTGTATGTTTGTCTGTTGTTTTTTTTTCTGTTCCTTCCTTGTTTGCCGTTCTGTATCTCTGTTCGACTGTATGTTTATCTGTAGCGTTGTAGTACATACTCAAAAAAGAGTGAATTTATAACTGTATTTAGAAGGATTTTTTTTTAAAGGGGCCAAATGTTCTATGTGCCTGCGTGGTTTCTCTCTTTATCTTTTTTCTTATTTACAGTGTGATTCTACATACAGGCGGACACATACACACACAGGTAGATAGAAAGTCAGACAGACACACACATACACACACAGAGGTAGACAGAAAGTCACACACACACACACACACACACACACACACACACACACACACACACAACACACACACACACACACACACGGAGAGAGAGAGAGAGAGAGAGAGAGAGAAGAGAGAGAGAGAGAGAGAGAGAGAGAGAGAGAGAGGAGAGAGAGAGAGAGAGAGAAGAGAGAGAGAGAGAGAGAGAGAGAGAAACTCAAATATTAGTACAACCAATTGTCATTACCGCTTCGGGTGGTCATATAAAAAATGTATGTGTATGATCTTACGGTTTAATGACTTTAAAGCAGTGTTCTTGCCTCGAATGGTAACAATAACATTAATGGTTATTACAAAAAAAAAAAAAAAAAAAAAAATTAAATCTGTATCTATATCTATATCTATATCTATATCTATCTATCTATCTATCTATCTATCTATCTATCTATCTATCTATATATAATATTAATAATGATGATGATAATAATATTAATAATGTCGATAATGATGGTAATGACGATGATAATAATAAGGATAACAATAACACTGCTACTGTTACTAGTAATGATAATTATAACAATAATATTGATGATAATAATGATAAAAAATGATAACAATAAGGATAATAATGATAATGATAACAATAGAACTGATAATAATTATGATAGTAATAATAGTGATAGTGATGTTGGTGATGATAATGATAATGATGGTGATGATGATGGTGTTAGTGATGTTGGTGATGATAATGATGATGGTGATGATGGTGGGGATGATGGTGATGATCAGGATAAGGATAAGGATAAAGATGAGGATGAAGACGATGATAGTAATAACAGTAATAATAATGATCATAGTAATACAAGCAATTAACAATATTGCCTTTATCAATGATATTATCATTATTGTTATTATTATTATTTTCAATTACATTATAATAATTGTTACTATTATTATCAGTTATACTATAATTATTGCTATTATTGTTATCATCAACATCATCATTATCATTGTCGTTATCGGTACAACTTTATAATCATTAACATTATTGTTACCCACGATAACGACTCTGTAAATGATAATTATTGCAGACCTGCTTCTATTTACTGTGAACGATTCCTTTTTCTTTGTAATCAGTGTGTTTGATAATCACTGCACTTGCTAGTTGTTATCGTCTTTCATCCCACTATCTACTGATTATTGGTGCTCTAAATGTTACCACCATCCAAGGTATATCTTATGCAGGACAAATTAGACAAAATACAGATGTCTCCCATAAAAGTTTACATTTTCTATGAACGGAAAAAAATTCGTTTTTTATTATAGCAGTTACGGGTAAACTATTTTATATGTCTATCGTTCGGCTCGACTGAATTACGAACGGTAGCAAGGCGTATTCCAATGTTTCTTTTAACCTTTGGATTGAAAAATATAAGCCAATATAACTTTGTCGGCATTATATTTATATAATATAATATGATAAATATAAGTTTGTTGGCAGTATATTAACTCATCGACCGCGAGTTTATGTTCATACTGTTCACTGATTTTTAAATCTGATTTTGATAAACACAGATGAATCGCGAGTATGAAAAGGCTGGGAATCATTACATTAGACGCTGAACAGTAAATGAAGAGATCATAGAAGTAGCAAATGTTGTTTAGTGATAAAAACTGTAAGCTCCATCACGCAAAAAAAAAAAAAAAAAAAAAAAAATTGAAGTTTGGCACACGCACGCGCACACACACACACACACACACACACACACACACACACACACACACACACACACACACACACACACACCACACACACACACACACACACACACACACACACACACACACACACACACACACACACACACACACACACACACACACACACACACACACACACACACACACACACACACACACATTTGATAATTAATAATTGTCTAGAGTATCGATTATTCAATCTGTATTTTTCCAATTCAATAATATTGCCTCTTATCTAATGTCCGAAATTAGGACAAAACAGATAAATAAAATATAAAATAGTTACCCAGTAAAAAGTATTAAAAGAAAACAAAACATCATTTGTATTCATAGAAAACGTAAACATATCGGGGTAACTTTTCTGGCTTTTTCAAGCATCTGAAGTATCTGATAAAACTAAAAGATACATTTATCTGTGAATAATAATGCTATTAATAATAAATTGAAATGATGATAATGATAGTGATAACAATAATAAGTAATGATAATGATAATGATTATTATAATAACGTGTTGATGATGATGATAATGATAATGATAATTATAGTAAAAATATAATAATAATAGTAATAATAATATAAAAATAAAATAATGATAATAATGTTAAAACTGATGATGATAATATAAAGAATTATAATGATGATAATAATAATGATAATAGTACTATACTAGTAATAGAAAGAGTAATAATAATGAATGATTTTACAAATAAAAATTTGGATCACATTAATAATAGTGATAATAACAATGGTAATAATATAATAATTGTAATGATGATAATGATAATAATAATAGTAATCATATTAACAATAATGATACTGAAAACCACAACAATAATGATGATGATGGTAATGATAATAACAGTAATGATAGTAATAATAGTATTTATAATAATAATAACCACAATAATAATGGTAATCATAATAATGATAATAATAAAAAAACAATAACAGTAGTAGTAAAAATTATAATAAAAGAATTATAACAGTAACAATTCTAATAATATTAGTGATAATAAGGATACAATAATGATGAAAAAAATACTAATGGTAATAATAATAATAGTCTTAGCCAAAGAAAAAATAATAATGATAGTGATGCTTCCATTCATCATTCTTTCGATTCACCAAATCTAATCCATATCTCCCCAAACAAGAAAATAAACAAACAACAAAAAATAGATACAAAAAAAAATAAAAAATATAATAATAATAAATAAAATGGATAACATGAGAGGCAATATATCTCCCCCTCCTCCCCTCCCTCCCCCTCCTCCCCCTCCCTCCCCCCTCTCCCCCTCCCCTTCCCCTTCTTCCCAAAGAGAGTCCGTAATCAGTAGTATTCTCAGCCTAGGTCTATACGAGTCTTCATAGGCCTTGTTTCTCAGCTACCTGGTAAACACACCCAGAGCCGTAGAGGTCTTAGAGGGTCTTCCTAAGAGGCTGAGACAAGGCCCCGCTGTTAGACCGGGGGGGGGGGGGTCTTAGAGGGTCTTGGCAGGCTAATTGACTTGGGGAGGAGGTGGGTGGGGTGGAGAGGAGTGTGGTTAGGGGGAGGGGGTGAGAGGAGGTGTGGTTAGGGGAGGGGGGAGAGGAGGGTGTGGTTAGGGGGAGGGGGTGAGAGGAGGGTGAGGGGGAGGGGGTGAGAGGAGGTGTGGTTAGGGAGGGGGTGAGAGGAGGTGTGGTTAGGGGAGGGGGTGAGAGGAGAGGGGAGGGGGTGAGAGGAGGGTGAAGGGGGAGGGTGTGTGGTTAGGGGGAGGGGTGAGAGGAGGGTGGTTGGGGGAGGGTGAGAGGAGGGTAGGGGAGAGCGGAGGGTGTGGTTAGGGTGAGAGGAGGCGCTGTGGTTAGGGGTTGCTAGGGGCACGTGGGGGGAGGGGTTAGTGAGAGGAGGAGGGGGTCGAGGGGTCGTGTGGTTAGGGGAGGGGCTAGGGGAAGGGATGGGATGAGGGTGGGGGTTCCTCTCTGCTCACGGAAGGCACGTGGAGCTTTTCGTACAGAGAGAGATGTTGATACACGTATTCCGACCTCCGATTAAAACAAATTTTTTATATCCGTCGCCGAAGATGGCTGTAGGCGGAGGGGAGAGCAAGGAAGCGTCTGACAATGGATTTAATAATAAAATTGCTGACGACCCCCTCCCCCTCATTGCATTGTTAATATCTAAACAAATCAGCCATTTATATAAGTTTATCATAATTTACTCCATTAATTTTAACACTAAATTTGCTATATTAGATGCTTACAAAATAAAAAAAGCGAAAAATAAATTTCATTGGGTCTAAGAATTCTAATTATACATACATATATATAATATATATATATATATATATAATATATATATTATAATATATATATATATATATATATATATATATATAATATATATATATATATATATATATATATATATATATATATATATACATATACACATCTATCTATATCTATCTATCTGTAATATATATATATATATAATATATATATATATATATATATATATATATATATTATATATATATATATATATTTAATCTATATTACCTTCGCCTCTCTGATATCGACGATTTTGGTTATCGTTGTATTCCTCTCACCTGTACAATCCAAACATGTAGCTTTTTTGCGCGGAAACCCCCCGTTAGCGACAAACTTGGCCCCCGATAGCAGGGGAGGGCATCAAAGGTTCCAAGGAAAATGCTGGGTTAAATGGCACTAATAATATAACCCACAGTGAAAATAACCATGGTTATTCGCATGACTTTCCATGGCAGGGGCCCTGCGACCCCCCTGGGGGGCTGCCGCCCCCCAACCCCCCGAGGAAACAAAACCTCCACCACGTATTCCCGGCAGGCTAGAGCGTTACACAGTTAGGT